GTAGGACTATCCTAGTAGCTTTGTCTGTTCGTAATAAATTGGATTTCATCAATGGTTCATCTGTCAAACCACCTGCTGAGTCTCCATTGGCAAGGCAATGGCAGAGATGCAATGATTTGCTCATCTCCTGGTTGATAAACTCCCTTACCAAAGAAATATCTCGTAGTATTGAGTACTCTGAGTTAGCCAAGGACATTTGGAGTGAACTTGAGGAGAGATATGGAAAGGCTGATGGAGCTAGATTGTTTGAACTTAAGAAAGGATTATCACACATATCTCAAGGTTCACTAGATATAGCATCTTGTTTTAATACCATAAAACAACTCTGGGATGAGATATCTTCCATTTCTGTCAATCATTTGTCTGTTTGCACATGTGGGGGTAATAAGAAAGTTGAGGAAGAACAGAAAGTCTATCAGTTCTTAATGAGACTCAATGATACTTATCTTCAAGTAAGGAGCAACATAATCATGATGTAGCCTTGCCCTCAATGAACACTGTGTACAACATTCTTCTAGCTGATGAGAAACAGAGACAAGTGTCCTCTGCATCTCAATTCAACAACAATTCTGCCTCCTTCAATGCTGGGGTTTCCAAACAGAGTTTCCCATCCAAGGTCAATTTTGACTCTCCCAGACCACAAAATTCTCATTCAAGGTTTAACTCAGAGTCTCAAAGGTCATCTTTAATCTGCAAGTATTGCAAGAAACCAGGGCATGCTATTGATAAGTGCTACAATTGCATGGCTTCCCTTCCAGTTTCAAGTTCACTAAGGGACATGGCCCTATGAAAGTTGTTGCACATGTTGAGGTTGATCATTCTGGTGATGTTGGAATTCATAGTGGGACTGTTGGACAGTCTAAGTCTCCCCAAGCTTCTGCAATCCCTGGTTTAACTAAAGATCAGTACTCTCAACTTATGATATTGCTGCAGCAGTCTCACATTTTCACTCCATCTTCTCCTCCTACACTCATGGCATCTGCCAATTTTGCTGGTATGCTTCTTCCTGAGAATGGTTCAGTTAGAACTTGTTTGCTTACTAAAATGGACAATGTTATTTGGATCATAGATTCTGGAGCCTCAAATCACATGACATCTGATAAATCCCTTCTTTTCAACATACAAATATTATTTGTTCCTTACCTAGTGTCTCTTCCAAATGGTTACAAAGTTAAAGTTCACAATGTAGGTTCTTTAGCTTTGTTTCCTGATCTCATTCTTCACAATGTATTTATATTCCTAGTTTTAAATACAATCTTATTTCTGTATACAAGCTTGTTGCTAAACCTGGTCATATGGTTCAGTTTACCAACACTGGTTGTACTTTTCAGGGCCCTTCTCTGAAGAAGCCAGTGGTACTTGGTATACCTGACAATGGATTGTACAAGCTGTTTTAACTCCCAATGGTCTCAAATGCTATGTTTTTTATTCAATTTTACCTTCTGTTTCTCCTTGCAATGTTCCAAATGTTGTTCTTTCTAATACTTGTTCTAGTGTTCCTGGTAGTAGTACAAATTTATCTCTTAGTTCTGTTGGGGTGTCTGATGATGTACATATGAATAAAGTGAATAAAAATGATGTTGTTTGGCACTATAAACTAGGGCATCTATTTTTTTCTAAAATGAAGTATGTACCTGATCTTGGAACCAAATTGTCATCTAAACAATCTTTTGTTTGCCCCATTTGTCTCTTGGCTAAACAAATCAGATTACCTTTCCATGATAGTTCTATACAGTCAACCACACCATTCCAATTACTTCACATTGACACCTGGGGACCTTATCACACCACCACATATTTTGGTTCCAAATATTTTTTAACTATTGTTGATGATCATACTAGAGCTACTTGGACTCACCTTTTGGGAGCCAAGAGCAATGTTTTTGACATTCCAAAGGCCTTTATTGCTATGGTTGAAACTCAATTCCACACTAAAGTCTAAGCTATTAGAAGTGACAATGCTCTAGAATTAGGGTCAAGCTTGTCTGGATGTCAATTTTTTGCTGAAAAAGGTATTGTACATCAGACTTCTTGCCCTCATATCCCTCAACAGAATGGGGTAGTGGAAAGGAAACATAGATATTTACTTGAGACTGCCAGGGCTCTATTGTTTCAATCTCACCTTCCTCTTAAATTCCGGGGAGATTGTATTCTCACTGCTACCTATTTGCTAAACAGATTTCCACCCCTTTTGCTAAATCACAAAAATCCATATGAGTTACTCTATGGCAAATTGCATGTTTATACTCATCTTAGAGCTTTTGGTTGTCTTTGCTATTCTACTGTTCCCAAGCATCTTAGAGACAAATTTCAACCTAGAGTTGTACCTTGTGTGTTTGTGGAGTATCCCTTTGCTAAGAAAGGTTACAAGTTATATAATCTGGAGACTCACTCATGTTTTGTATCTAGAGATGTTGTCTTTCATGAACATATTTTTCCATTTCTTAAATTACCCACAAGTTCTTCCAGTTTATATTCCTCCTTTTTCTGTATGCTTTGATGATTTCCTTCCTACTACTAGTCCTTTTACTCCTATCTCCCCTACTTCCACTTCTTCCACTCACATTCCTACTAGTCCTGCCTCTTCTCTTCCTGCTCCCTCATCTGAATCTCTTCCTCCACTCTCACAGCCCTCTGCATCCCTTTCTCCTCCTCTTCTAGAGTTCACAAGCAACCTGAATATCTTAAAAGCTATGTCTGTCAGTCTATTAGCTCTACTTCTGAACCCTCCTCGAGTCTAGTTAAGCAACATGTTTCTGAACCTTCTACCTATTCTCAGGATGCAATTGTCCCTGAATGGCAGGCTGCTATGAGACAAAAATTTGATGCTTTGGAGACTAATAAAACGTGGGATATAGTTGAGTTACCATTTGGCAAGAAACCAATTGGATGCAAATGGATTTATAAGGTTAAATACAAAGCTAATGGTTCAATTGAAAGATATAAAGCAAGGTTAGTGGTTAGGGGTGATACCCAAGTTGAGGAAATTGATTTCCATGAGACTTTTTCCCCTGTTGTAAAGATGTCCACCATTAGAACTCTTATTGTTGTAGTAGTTAAGAAAAATTGGCCCTTTTTCCAACTTGATGTTAATAATGCTTTCTTGCATGGTGATTTGGATGAGGAAGTTTGCATGAAACTACCTCCTGGTTTGTCTGTTCCTTCTACATCCTCATCTGCCCCTCTTGTCTGTAAGCTGAAAAAGTCTCTATATGGGCTGAGACAGGCCTCCAGGCAGTGGTATGCTAAGTTGTCACAAACCTTACAGTTAAGAGGGTATACTCATACCCTCAATGATTATTCTTTGTTTACAAAAGGTTCTGGAGACTCTCTTGTCATCTTGGCTGTGTATGTAGATGATATTGTACTTACTGGGACTAATTTGGAAGAAGTTTCTGCCTTAAAAGCCTTTCTTCATGATCAGTTCAAAATCAAAGATTTGGGTCTTCTTAGTTACTTCCTTGGTATTGAGGTTTTGTATTCTTCTTCTGGGGTTTTATTGCATCAAAGGAAGTTTATTCATGATCTTTTAAAGGAGTTTAATTGTGATGCCTGCTCTCCTGTTATTTATCCCCTTGAGTTGCATGAGAAACTTAAAGCTAAAGTAGGGGATCCTTTGCCTAATCATGAAGTTTATAAAAGCCTTGTTAGGAAGTTGAATTTCTTAACATATACTAGGCCTGATTTGTCTTTTGTTGTTCAGCATTTAAGCCAATTTATGCAGCACCCCTGTGCTCCTCATATGAAGGCTGCCCTTCACCTATTGAGATACATTAATGGTACTTCAGATTATGATATTTTCTTTAACAATTCCTCAGATCTTTCTCTTCAGGTGTTCTGTGACAGTGATTGGGGCTCTTGCCCTGATAGTAGTAGATCAGTTACAGGTTTTTGCATTTTGTTGGGTGGTAGTTTGGTGTGCTCGAAATCTAAGAAACAACCTGTGGTATCTCATTCTTTAGCTGAAGCTGAATATCGTTCATTGAGCAAACCAGTTGCTGAAGTTACATGATTATCCAAATTGTTGGTTGATTTTGGTCTTCCTATCTATTATTCCATTCCTGTTTTCTGTGATAACCAAGCTGCATTGCACATAGCAAAAAATCCAGTCTTCCACGAATGGACAAAACATATTGAGTTGGATTGTCACTTTATCCGGAGCAAGCTCACAGATGGGTTGATCACTTTGCTTCATACCTCAAGTGCATCTCAAGTGGCTGATATCTTTACCAAATATCTGTCTGGCAATGTTCATCACCTTCATCTTGGCAAGTTGGGTGTTAACCCACCCTCCAACTTGAGGGGGGGGGGGGGGTGTTGGGATTCATAGCTTAGAAAATAACTTAGATTTGGTATTAGCTAGTATGTGTAGTCCAAGCTGTAGTAGTCCAACATGTATTTAGTTTTTTGAGCCTCAATTTGTATTTATTGTATTTGGGTTTTCGGGTCTTATAAAGAGGCCCAACTTCTGAGACTACAACAAAATAAGGAAAACAGTTTTATTTTGTAAATTGATTGAATAATGAAAATCAGATTTTTCTCTCTCTTCCTATCTTAGAACCCTAACTGGGCGTCTTCCAATTTCCTTCGATCTCTGAATCTAACAACAGTAGCAGCTTACACAGCAGCTTGCTGTAGCAACTTACAAGCAGCTTACATGGCAGCTTGTGTAGCAGCTTACAAGCAGCTTGCAGTAGCAACTTACACAACATCAACCTTTCTTCTATAAGTAGAGAAAATTTCAGTTCATTATGTACATAAGTTTGAAAATTGGATAATACATCAGTTTCTCTCTATACTTGTCTTTACTTTATAGTCTTTATTTTATAACAGTAGTATTATTTTAATTAAAAATAAGTATACTAATAATACACTAATTAAAGCATTTTTAAAATATAATTACCCTTAAATTAAGTAATCGATATATAACACCCTCGTTGTTATTAATTCATAATAATTTTCACATTGGACATCACTGCATAAAAGATGACTTTCACATTATAATTCCCGCATATTATTATTCTTTTTTACATAAAAAAAAATCATAGGAGCTAAATCGATAATGAGGTGGACTATTTCTTCCTAATGCGCTGGAAGTGTTTGATGAAATTCCCAAGAGTACAAGTGAGATCTACAGTTAAGTTCCAAAAATGGAGGGTGGCTATGTGTGGGCAGTCGCAGCTGGATTCAACGCTGCTCTTGCAGCGATCTCTGCCAAATTCTTCTCCTCCCAGGTAATTCCATCACACAACCAGAAACCTTTTCATTGATTATTCCTTCTTTATTTTTCTTTTCCTTCTAACTATGTTTATACTAGTCTGTGATTACATTAATCCAGAAGTATTTCGTTTGGAATCTGAACAATTTACTCAGTATGCTGACAAGGAGCTAAACAAAGAAAGATTAAGAATGCTAAATGAATCCAGTAGTCAATAATGTGTCCCCTAATTCATACTATGTTGTAGGATCTGCTCTTATTAGGTGGGTTCATTTGCCAGATGACAAAATTCCCCAAGTATGAATGAACACATCATTATATTTTTTCCAACTAGGATCTGATGAAATGAGATGAATTGAGGTAGTAATAAAATGGAAATTAAAGTGCGGATTATTTTGTGAAAGAATTTTTGGTCCAGCTATGAATTATCGCCCTGTGCTGTTTAAATTGCTAATTTGTCTATATTATATTTTGGACCTAAATGCTGCCATATTATAATTAACTACTATCTCGTGGTGTTATTATGAACTGTTAAGCAAAGCAAACACTGTTGTATTGATTCAAATAGAAATACCAGTACAATAAGATTAAGGGACACTTGCTGCTACAAAATAAGGAAATACAGATAGGGATAGACAGAAAGAAACAGGAGAGAGGTAACAGAGCCACAGACCATAGAGGGAGAGGGAATTTCTTAACAACTTTTAGCCTGTCTTTCCACTACTTGTACTGTTCTATATATATTAGATAATGGTCCCCAGTACTAATACTATGATGCCTTGCACACCAAGTCCTTAGCCAACACTCCAAACGTAATCAACCAACTTTTGGGTTGGTTTTCTTGTTCTCTTACTTCTTCTTGGCCGATCTTCTAGCCCAGATGCCAATTCCTTTTGCAGCCCACTTTCCACATTGAGCCTGTCAGTATTATTGGCTATAACAATACCCCCATCTCCGGATTGAACCTTGTCCTCAAGGTTCGAGTTTATCTGTTGCGTATCATCTTGAAGCTGTAAAGGTGTGATTTGATTTTTAGGGGTGCCAACACACTTGCGCAACATAGAAACTTGAAACACAGGATGTATTCTTGCTTCCTTGAGGCAATTCTAACTTGTAAGCCACCAAGCCCACCCGCTTCAGTACCTTGAAAGGTCCAAAATAGCGTTGCCCCAATTTATGGTGTCGTTGAAGTCGCACGGAATGTTGTCGATAGGGCTTCAACTTTACATATACCCAATCACCTACCACGAACTCAACATGCTCACGCTTTCTATCTGCATACTCTTTCATTTTCTATTGTGCCTTGGCGAGGTTGTGCTTCAAAAGTTCCATCACTTCATCACGCTGCAACAAAAAAATTTCTAACAGATCTTGGAGCTGCTTCCCAAGGCATAACGTACCAAAGTAGGGGGCTCACAACCATAAAGAACCTGAAAAGGAGTCATGCCCGCCGATGTCTGATAAGCCGTGTTATACCAATATTCCGCCCAAGGCAAAAGGGGAAACCATTCATGGGGCTGTCAGCCACAAAACATCACAAATATTGTTCGACACGCCTATTTAATGCTTCAGATTGTCCATCGATCTGAGGGTGATACGCCAAACTCATTGACAATGTGGTGCGCTGCAACCTATGAATCTCCTTCCAAAAAGAATTCATGAACCTGGGATCACGATCAGTGATTATGATTTTTGGATGGCCATGAAGTCGAACAATTTCTGAAACAAAAGCCATGGCCACAGTTTGAGCAGTGAAGGTGGAAGGAAGCGCAATAAAGTGAGTATATTTCGATAATCTGTCCACAATAGTCATAATGGTAGCCTTCCCTTTAGTGCTCGGCAAACAAGTGATAAAATCCATTGTGGTCTCTTCAAACTCCAGATCAAGGATTGGTAATGGCTGTAACAGTCCAGCAGGTTGCTTCAATTGATCTTTCATCTGTTGGCAAACTTGACATGAAGCCACAAAGGCCTGAACATCTTTTCGCATTCCCTTCCAAAAGAAATTGGAGGAAAGGCGGTGGAAAGTGCGTGCGACCCTCGCATGACCACCAATCAAGGAAGAATGAAATTCATCAAGCAACTGCAAACGAAGGGTAGAATCAGAAGGTACTACCAAATGCCCTCGAAAGAGTAGCAGTCCATCACGAAAAGAATAGTCAGCTGCTCCATTTGTGGAATTTTGCACTAGCTGTTGCACCGCTAAAAGCTCAGGATGAGACTGATTTTTGCGCTGCAATTCAGTGACTATCAAATTTGCAACTTGAAATAGCTAGGAATGAGGCTTCAGGAGTCCGTGACAAAGCATCCTCAACCAAGTTATTTTTCCCGGGCTTGTAAAGTATCTTGAAATCATACCCCACCAACTTGCTTAACCATTGTTGTTGCTCTGGAGTTTGAATCACTTGATTCGTCAAATTTTTCAAAGACTGTTGATCGGTATAAATTGTGAATCGCCTTCCTAGGAGATACTGCCTCCATTTGCTGACAACTTGAGTTATGGCAAACATCTTCCTATGATAGGTGGATGCTTTGCACATACAAGGACATAGTTTGTGACAGTAGTAAGCGATAGCGTGTCCCTTTTGAGAAAGAACAGCTCCAACGCCCATACCAGACGCATCTGTTTCGAGATGAAATTCCAATGAAAAATCTGGAAGGGCAAGGACTGGAGTGGATCCTAAAGCCCGCTTTAGTGTCTCGAAAGCAACATGTGCCCTTCGTTCCACTGAAAGGGTTCCTTGCGAAGCAAATCTGTCAAAGGTCCAACAATGGGGGCATACTGACGAATAAATCTCCGGCAATAGCCCGCAAGGCCCAAAAAACTACGAATCTCTTTCACATTTCGAGGGCTAGGCCATTGCAAGATGGCCCTGAATTTTTGTGGGATCTACTGCCAAGCCATTTGCTGAAATCACATGCCCTAAATAATCAATCTGGTCTTGCCCAAATATGCACTTCGACTCTTTTGCCACCAACTATTGGTCTCTCAGTAGTTGGAGAACCAAAGACAAATGCTCCAAGTGTAATTCCCATGATCCATTGTAAACTAGAATATTGTCGAAGAATACTAAAACGAATCGTCGAAGATGTGGCCTAAACACCGCATTCATGGTGGCCTGAAAAGTTGACGGAGCATTGGATAACTCGAAGGGCATGACTAAGAACTCGTAATGGCCCTCATGAGTTCGAAATGTTGTTTTTGGTATATCTTTGGGTCGGACACGAATTTGGTGATAGCCTGACAATAAATCTAACTTTGAGAAATACCTCGCGCTATGAAGCTCATCAAACAACTCATCAATGGTCGGGATAGGGAAACGATCCTTTACGGTGATAGCATTTAGGGCGCGATAATCCACACAGAATCTCCGTGTGCCGTCCTTTTTGCGCACTGACAATACTAGAGAAGAGAAGGGACTAGCGCTAGGGCGAATCACTCCTTCCTTCAACATCTCAGAGACAAGCTGTTCCATTACTTGCTTTTGAAAATAGGGATATGTACGGTTTAACGTTCACTGAACCTGCTTGAGGCTGCAAGTGAATTGCATGATCTTGCGGTCTGGATGGCGGCAAACCTTGCGGTTTACAGAAAATATCTTTGAAAGTATGGAGTAGAGACGACAATTCCGCAAGATAATTTGGAGTTGCAGGTGCCATATCAGCTACTAACTCAAACCGGTAATAACATGCTATGCCATCCACTTCTGCCAAACGTCGAATACTTTGTAATTGGACTGGCTGAACGTCAATGGGTGGTTCCCCATTCCATCTGTAACGATTGACACCAAGAGAAGATTCGAAGATACGCTCATGATAGTCGGTAACCACCAGACCTAATGTTGCTAACCAAGATACCCCTAAAACAACTTCCGCGCCATGTAAATCCAAGACATAAAGGTCCAAAGTCAAGCTACATTCCTGGACCAACAACTTCACATTTCGTACTACTCCCACACAAGGAAGCCTTTGGCCACTGCCAACTACCACCGAAAATCGAGGTGTGGCTTCCACCTTTAGATTCAAAAACTTAGCAGCACAGGGTTGAATAAAGTTATCTATGCTTCCCCCATCCACGAGGACATGGACATGAGAACCATTAATTTCACCTTTAAAACGCAGGGTAGTGGAGGAATTCCCACCTGCCAATGCATGATATGAAATCGCAGAGTGCTGCTGGACCTCGAGACATTGTAATTCCTCAGCTAAAACTTCATCTGTAACAAAGGAATCTGGAGGAATGTTAGGATCTGAAGGACCCTCTTCTAATAGAAGAAGCTGAGGTAATGTTTTACATTTGTGACCTGGTGAATATCGTTCATCGCAGTAATCGCAAAACCCCTTTTTCACGTCGTTGTTGCGCTTCCGCCGGCTAGAGGCGTTTCAGAGGCAGCTTAGTGTTTGGGGATTTGGACGTGGAGTGAAAGGGAACAAGGGCTGTCGAAGGTGGGGTAGGCAAAATGGGCTGAGATTTAGTGTATGATGGCTTAGAATAAATGGGCCCTTTTTCACAATTAATCCGTTGTTCATAGGTATGGGCCAGGGAAATTGTTTGGTCTAGGGTGGTAGGGTTATGGGCCACTACTGAGAACTGGATATCAGGCCGAAGCCCAGAAAGAAATGTCTATATCAACCAGTGATCGGAAACACTTACCGTTTCGTTTGATAAGGCCTCAAACCGAGCTTGGAATCAGCGACGGTGGTGGATTGTTGCAGCTTTTCTAAACGACCTTCAGGACCCAGAACTTGCCGCTTCTTAAAACGAATGACAACAAAATGGTCCCAGTCGACCAATTGCTTGTTACAATGCAGCCATCCGAACCACTCAAGGGCCTCACCGTCTAGATAAAAGGAAGCTACATTGAGCTTCTCATTCTCATCAATGGAGCAAAAATTAAAATAGTGCTCAACCTGGAAGACCCAAGCCTCTGGGTTATCTCCATGAAAACTACTTATCTCAATCGAAGCACGTTTGTGGCGGAGAAGAGGCGACGCACCACTAGCAGTAGACGAAGGAGCGATGACACCCGATGCCGGAAACTGAGAAGGAACACCAAATGTTGGCCTAAGATGAGCAGTTAAGGCTGCCATCTGAGACACCATTTCCTGCATAAAACAATGATTCGATTCCACAACCTCACAAAAAGCTGCCATGTCCGACGACGGAATGGAGCTACGGCCAGGGGTGGACTGTGAAGGGTCAGCCATGGAATGTTTTGGATCACCCATGGAAGATAATCAATGAAAGCACCAAAATGTTATGAACTGTTGAGCAAAGCAAACACTGTTGTATTGATTCAAATAGAAATACCAGTACAATAAGGTTAAGGGTCATGTTATATTTGTCTAATTAATTCCTAGTGTCTACTTGTAATAGATCCCTGTCCGTTTAGATCCTACAATGTTTTCGTGGTAACTTTTGGGCTTAAATCTTTGACACATTGAATATCTAATGTCTATGCTCTATGTAAATTTTCACCATTATGTTATCTTTACTCATTCCTTGTTTCTGCTTCACTCTAATGTGGCAAGCAATCTCGAAATATTGGCTAATCGATGTCATCTCAAATTTACAGCTCATCAAATATGGTTGTGTCGTAATATTCAATGTCACTATGTGGGGATGCTATATCAATAGCCTTAAAGCTCTATCATCTCTACAAGCTACTGTGACAAACTTTGCAACCAACTTTTTATCGTCTGGATTGGCTGGATTTTTACTTTTCCAGGAGCGACTACCAATTCAGGTAATTTATGAAATTTGTGCTTCTCTGTGTTTATGGACAGCGTATGATCCTTTGATCGTGTTTCTTGTTCAGTCCTTCCTCCCTATTTTATGGAAGTCCTTAGTTGTGGATTAACTTTTCTATGATTTCTCTAGACGTAGAACGAGCCTTTGTTCCCATTTCTTTTTCAGTCCTCTCTGCGTAAGTTATCATAGTCAGTATGTTGTACTGTTACATCTTAGAACCTATTAACATAGCAGGATTAACTTTTGCACGATTTTTGTAGTCATAGGTTTATCAACTAATAAAATAAAAAAGGCCAACTAAAATTAATGTGCTTCTCTATGTAAAGGAAGTATTTCCATGGTTTGTAGCCCCTCGAAAGTGAAGAAATCTAGCTTCTGCTTTAGGTCCCCAAAAATTTAAGTACATCACAATTTAGAATTCCGATATCCAAGTTAACCATTTGTGTCAATAAACTGTTTTGGTTCTTGTTGTCAATTTAAGTATTTACCTTGCCTTCAGTCTCAAGTCTTGAGCCTTCTCGTTCGACTTAGGGGGGTGATGATATGGGGAAGGAGCAATTCTGAGAAGAAAATTTTACAGGGTAGAAACATAGTTTCTCAAAACAATTGCCTCCCTCAAGTCAGATGTAGACACACCACTGATTTATAATAAAATGCCAAAGAACTTGTAGCTAGGTTAAAGTTAATCTGAAGCTGTAATTAAGTCAGAAATGTGTGTTTATGTGATTGCTATGAGTATTAGTTTATATCATCTTGCCATATATGATGAAAATTAGGCCATTTGGCCGACTGATTGGTATTACTTTTGTAGTGGTTTGCAGGTGCTGCACTGATTGTTCTAGGAGTTATTGTTTTGAGCAAGTCAAGCATCGAAAAGAAAAGTCATACAAGTTAGATAGTAATCTTTGATTTATCTTCTATTTCTGAATTTTGAATACTTGTTATATACGGATTTTCTGTTCTTTGAATCATTAAATGTTAAATTAATTGATCGGTATTGTGTAACATTGTAGATGTTATCTTAAGATCAACTTTTTTTGGACACGTTGCTTGGCTTAACCTCAATACAAACTACTCAAATTTCAACTCAAATTTTATTTAGTTTCAAATTTGAATATTATATTAGCTTGTTAGGAATAATATATATATATATATATATATATATATATTAAAACATATAGTGTAAATTAAAAAGATAAAATTCTAAGATATCCTTACCTTATAATCTACGTATTTGAGTTGAAAGAAATATTTGAAATCAAAGATCAACTCCAAATTTTTTATACTCAACGAAGATAAAACAGAAGAAGAAATTCGTTCCTTTTAGATTTCCAATATAGAAATTGTCCACATAAGAAATTTATTTATAGTAACAAATTCGTTCCTTTTAGATTTCCCATATAGAAATTGTCCACATAAGAAATTTATTTATAGTAACCTTTGGTTGAAATTCTTCCATATTTTTCTTTGGCTCTATCGAATTAACTTAAATAAGTGTCGCTTAAATAAATAAAAAAATGAAGAAGGTACAAGTGCCGCTAAAAAGTAATCGTTTATAAAGATACTAGCAGGGGTAGTTCGGGCTTTGCCCGGGCCCAACGTATTATGTAATTATACATTGGTTAAAATAGCACGGTCTAGTCAGTTTTCGGACTGATCATTCAAAAATAGTCAGCGTTTGCCAAGTCATTGAAAAATAGCCATTATTTTGCTGCAACAGAGACCGGTCCAACATAATATACTGGAGTTCGGTGCACTTGTGTATGAACTTCCAGCATATTATGCTGGACCGATATATTATGCTGGACCGACATATTATACTGGAACTCCAGTATATTATGCTGGAGTATTTTTCCGGATTTTGAACAGTGTTTTCGTTCAGATTTATCTTTACATGAAAAGTGACTGAATTTCGATTACTTTTGAAACTGTGGCTATTTTTGAATGATCACTTATAAATATGGCTAATATTTCAAAGAAAATAATAAATATAGTCCAACTTATATTTATTATTCTTAAAAGTGAGTACAACTTATCGTCCAACTTATACTATTTTTTCTTCTGATGGTCTTTGGTTTAACTTCTTCTCTTTTTCCAACTTTATTTTATTTTCCAATTTTTTTGAACTATATAGTTTTACGTAGTTCACACTAAAAAAGAACTGGTGATTTTTCCTATACTTTACCAACTATTAAGCGGGCGTTTGGATGTAAGAATTGTAAAAATTTTAAAAAGGGTGAAAAAAGTTCAAGTGAAAATAGTATTTGAAATTTAAAGATGTGTTTGGATATGAATATAATTTTGATTGTTTTTGAAGTTTTGTGAGTGATTTGAGTAAAAATTTTAAAAAAATAGTTTTTTGGAATTTTTCAAAATTTTGAAAATTTCCAAAATGCTTCTTTAAGTGAAAATTGAAATTTTATGAACAAACGCTGATTTCGAAAAAAAAGTGACTTTTTTTTATAAAAAAGGAAAAATTTGTTATGTCCGAACGGGCTCTAAGTTGTCTTTTAATGATTTCTCCATGTATTCATGATAAT